TTTTTTTATTACATTATTTCTTTTTTTTATGTATGGGGGTGAATGAAGAGGGTAACTTTCCAGAGCCCATCCTCTCCTTCCATCATGTGGGTTCTAGGGAGCAAACTCAGGTCATCAGGCTTGGCTACAAGCACCTTTGCCTGCGGAGCCCAGGCTGACCTAGAACTCACAGTGATCTTCCTGTTTTGGCCTCCTGAGTGCTGGTATTACAGACTTTATTCTCATTTTTCAAAATGGAGAAATGGACTCAGTAAAGATAACCTGGGTGTGCTGCTAATGGCAGCATCAAGCAGGAACTTCTGACTACTGATTTAGTTCTCTGGGGGCCACGTTGCAGACGCCCCTGATCACTGGCTTCTGGTATTCCCATGACTCCCACAGTTCCAGCATGAAGCAGACACACAGGGATTTATGGCTCTCTGAAAGGCAAAGGAAGACCCTGGGTTTGTGAGACATGGTGTCGCTCTAGCGCCCGGGCTGAGTGGACTTTGTGCACCACGGGCAAGGAAGCGGTTAGCAGCAGTAAGGACACTGAGTGCTAACTCCACTGAGTAGAGTGGTTAAGCTTCAGATTTCTAGAACCAACCATTCCCCACTGAAGGAGGAACAGAGGCAGGATTGGGGAACAATAGAACCGAGGTATCTTGGAGACCAGGGAATGAGCAGTGGCCTTCAGGTACTCACACTGATGGTCCAGAGGTTGGCTACATAGGCCAAGGCCTCCTTCTTGTTTAGGGTCTTCATCTCCTCCAGTTTCTGGCGAAACTTCTGGGCCTCTCCCTCCTCATTGGCAAAGCTCCGGACTGTGGGCATAGCTGACAGGGCCTCAACGGCCACCTGGGTGGACTCTGCCAGAGAGTCCTGAATCTGTACTGCCAGTAACTGTGGAGACATGGACCAGAGACATCACACAGGGCTTGCAAACCACAAGGAACTCCAATATCTGGGCTACCTGTGTGGAGATTAAAGTCAAGAGGCAGAGGGACAGAGGAAGAGAAAAGGGTACAGTTCTGCCCTCCCCTCAAGGCAGGGGAGGGGACTGATTCAGAATGGGCTGGGAATCAAATTCCTTTTTAGGATTTATTCTTTGTTTTTATTTGTGTCTCTGTGTGTGTGTGTGTGTGTGTGTGTGTGTGTGTGTGTGTGTGAATGTGTATGGCACATGCATGATTGCAGTGCCTTCAGAGTCCAGAAGAGGGCATCAGATCCCCTGGAGCTGGAGTTACAGATGGTTGTGAGCTGCCCAACATGGGTAACTGAACTTGGGTCCTCTACAAGAGCAACAAGTATTCTCAGCTATTGAATTATCTCTCCAGCCCTGGGAGTCATATTCTTAAGGACAGGCTGTGGACAGAATTTAACAGACAAGGCAGAGAACATGGGGAGGGATGTTGAACAGTGTGGGCACATAGGCCAAAGAGACAGGGAGCCCCAGACGACAGAGAAGCAGTGGGAACCCAAATTGAAAACAGTCGAGAGAAACTGAGTCTGGGGGATGAGGCACTGTGTAAGGTGAACCAATTCCAGGAACATACCTGGGTCTTTTCCCCCAGCTTCTTAGGCAGAAGGAAAAGCAGAGGCAGGGCAGCCAAGGTGACCATGGTGAGGGATGGTGACCCCCAGAACATGACCCCCAGGAGACACAGGCCTCGCACCAGGTACCACATCAGAAGATTCAGCTTGTCACTGATAGACTCGCACACCTTGGATGTGTCCTCGGTTACCCGAGATGTGACAGAACCTAGGGACAAGAGAGTCAAGTGAGAGGTTCACAGCGCGGAGCTAGCAAACAGTCACGGCTCCAGGGTGGGCATGTCCTAAGGAGGCTGCAGCAAGCAGGTGGGGGTCTGTGTAGGTGTGAGAACTTGGATGCATGGTAAGAGAGGGAAGAGAAGAGAGAGCCAAGAAAAGGTCCACGTTTTCCTGTAAAGAAATGGGTGTAATATGAATTTCTCTCAAAGCTTTATGTTTCTCGAAGACTGTGCCTATGTTGTCTGTGTTCTGCGGCTGATCACCCAGCAGATATGGGGCAGACAAAGCAGTCCAGGGAGTACATTTGGAAATCAAGACGCTGAGGTCTAACCCCAAGTTTGTCTCTGCCATGTTTGCCGATGCGAGTTTTGGCATTTAGTTTCTGGAACTCGGTTTACTTCTCTTTAAGTAAGGCAGTTAGGTTTTATGATCTCAAGATTTCCAGGCTTGAAAGTCTGTAGCTGCTATTCATGAGGAATTTCTGGGTGAAAATGCTAAGTTTTTCTTATGATAAAGAGGAAAATATTTCGCTATGTTATATATCATGAAGAAGAGGGTTGGGACGGTAGCTCAGTACATAGAGTGCTGGCCTAACATGTACAATACCCTGGGTTTTGAGACAGGAACTTATGTAGTCTAGACTGGCCTCAGACTAGCTGTGTAGCTCAGAATGACCTTGAACCTCAACTTCTGATCTCCCAAGTGCTAGGATTACAGGGGTGTGCCACCACACCCAGTTTTATGTAACGCTGGGGACTAAATGCAGGGTATGTGTGTGTGTGTGTGTGTGTGTGTGTGTGTGTGTGTGTGTGTGTGTGTAGCCTGTCAAGGTTAAAAATAAAAGAGCATGTGTGGAGATATACAGTATATTATACAAATGAAAAAGTTTCATGAGAAACCTGTTTGGTTCTGCAGGAAAAACTCTGTCTCCTGACGCAGGACAGCGTGAAACACCTCTCCATGCAAACGACTGTGCAAGTAGCCCATAGTGTAGTTATAAATCCCATCGCCGGTGAACTCCAACACTGCACTAGAGAGTTGGGGAGACAGAGAGTCAAGGTGTGCTCAGGGGGGAACAAGAGAAAGCCTCATATACTTTAAACAACAGGCCCAACATCCAGCTCCCATGTTTTAGGGTCCCCATTCTCAGCCTCCAGACCTGGCTATGGTGAGCACAGACATCAGAGTTATGTTCCTGGTGAAGGCAGGGGCTGTCTTATCTGGTAGAATCCAGTCAGCGAGGCGGCCTGTAAAGAAGGGAATGGCCATCTCCCCTGGGGAAAGAGAAGAGATACCTCAGTCACAAACATTCTGTCTGAGCAGGTCAGCACTGGACATACTGTCGTCTCCCTGCCTCTCTTCCTTCACCATTCCCCAGAAGGAAGACCTCGATGGTTCCAAGCCTGACTAGGCTGCAGGTGCTCACCAACCTGTTGCTGTCCCACCAGACCTTTCAGTAGCTTAAAAAGATGGCGGTGTGGAGCAAAACCCTAGTGTCAGGGATGGGGAGGGATGTTCTGCCCCAACATCGATTCTAGGACTCCCTCTGGGGCCAGGACTCTTCTCACTCCACCTAAGTGATCACCTTAGGCCCTGACACACTTCCCAGGCCCACTCCATTCTTTCTGACAGGCTCACTGGATTCCTGCCCAGCCGGCTGTGGCCTTCCCTTTCGCCCTGAGTCCCACTTACCAACACAGGAGAGGATCAGCAGAACCAGAACCAGCGGAAGGCAGCACATCTCGGAGCCCAGGAAACTTAGTAGCCGACGCACCAAGTCCCCAGCGGCCCCTTGGCTGCTGGCCACCAAGAGGCCCCCCAACTTGTGCCATAGGGCGGCTGCAGACAGTGCGGCCACATAGCCGAGGACGAAGGCTTCCGGGCGACTGCCCCAGTGCAGAAGTCTGGTGCTGTCATGATCAAGGAGGGCTACCCAGGAGGCCAGCTCTCGGATCAAGGCAAGCACCGGCAGGACCAAGCCCAGCACTGCCGCCAGCGGCTGCAAAGCACCCAGCCATCCATGGGTTCCTGCGGTTTCTCCCTCGTGGGGCCCACTTGCCTTCAGGACCCCGTGCACCCCCAGTCCCAGCACGGCCCAGCGGCTCAGGCCCACCGCCCAGATCCAGAACAGCGGCCACTCCTTCGGAACCAGCACGGAGACTATTCCAGGGAGCGCGGGCCGCAGCAGCACCCAGTCTGCAAGCAGCAGCAGCGCGGTCCCCAGCCACGCGTGGAGAGCCATGGGGGCGCGGGCACTGTCCAGGTCTGGGGCGCTCGCCGTCCCTGCTGGACAGGAGTCTGTCCAGGATGCTGCCCGGGTCCACGCTCCCCAGCGCGCAGGGGGACCAGCGGCTCGGGGAGGGTAGAAGGGCGGGGCCTGGGAGGCACGCTTGGAAAGTCCCAGGAACCGGCTGAGGCTGGTGGCGCTAGTAGGAAGAACAGGCGTTTAGGGGAAAGAGAAATCGAAAGCAACCGCCGACTCTCTAGCCCCGCCCCCTCTGCAAATGGCCTGCCCAGACTGTTTTGGCTTGGAAACCGGATCCGAGGTCCTGGCTAGCGGCCCTCCCACCCCAGCTTAAGGGCTGGACACTCTTTCGTCACCTGTCTCTGGGCAGATCTGCCGGACTCAGGTTGGCTCAGGGCGCACAGCGGGGTGGAGAGGACCTGCGCCCCCTAGTGCGCGCGGAGACGGGGCGGGGCTGCCGCTGCAGGCTGTGCGCCGCGCGCCAGGTTCCGCGCGGATTGGAAACCTGAGCCCAAGCGCACAGCTGGGATGCTGCGGGCTGGAGCGCCTACCGCCGACTTGTCCCGGACTGGAGAAGTCCACACCGGGGTAATGGGTCTGCGGGCTGAGAGTCAGCGGTGGGGAGGCCAGGGAACCCTGAAAGCGCTGGAAAGGGAATAAGGAGACCAAGAGTAAAGGGAAGTTTGAGGCGCCCAGTGCTTGCGCTCCACAGCAAATTTGGGGTGTCCCGGTTCTAAAGTGGGGTGTTTGGGGGAGGTCTGAGAGCAACGGGCATGCGAAGCTGGTGGGATCTGGAGTGCTTTGGTTCTTAGCCGGAAGCGTCAAGGCGGGGGAAGCTGCTCCAAAGAACTTTCGCTTTAGCTCCTGTCTGCGCAGTGGATCTGGTTAAATCAAGATGGGGGGGGGGGCTTGAGGGCCCTGCAAAGAGATGATGTTCTACGTTCATCATAATGGTCGTTGACTAACCTGGTAACCTGGCCCTAGACAGCCTCCACTCAGAGTGCTAACAACAGGTCCTGCTGTGCCCAGGTACTCCGCGGTGCCTGCACAGTCCTCCGCCCACTCCCGTGTCTACTGTGTCCAGGCCCGGTGCCGGGAGCAGCTGGAAGCCCCAAGGGTGGCTGGTTTCTGCTCACTGCCTGCCACTAACCACACTCTTAGCTTGGAGCAATATTTTTTTGAGAAGGCTAGAGTCTAGAATGTCGCTGGCCGTTTTCTGGTCCTCAGCGCACTCGAGATGGATCCCTGGAGGCCAGAGTAAGGTGTGGAGTGGTGGAAAGGGACCTAAGAAACCATTCATACATTGGGAAATGCCCATCCCTACCAAGGGAGCAGGGCAAGGTAAGAAGCATAACAAGGCAAGGGGTCCGAGTGTGACCTGGGTTTTAGTGCCAGGCCTATTAATCCTGAGTGACCTGACATAAGGCATTTCTTCTTGATAACTTTTCTCAGTTGAACCTCGAATACATAAGGTGCCGTTAATCTCAACAGGCATTGGGGGAAATACATATTTTTCTCTTCTTTCACTGTTCCTTAATTCTTTTCTTGACCGGGACAGACACACACACACACACACACACACACACACACACACTCTCTCACACACTCCAACCCCGGAGTCAGCTCCTCTCTCAGCAGATCTCTTCCCCTGGCCGCAGAGATCCTATTTACCTCCGGACCAGGTACTCCTTAAGTGGAGCTTCTAGTCTGCCGTCCCTCCTGCCTTGGCTCCAGGTCATGCTGACCACTGGCCTCCACCATGCGTTCACTATCCTGTGAACTTAACCCACTTCTAATAGAGTAAGGGTGGAGGATTCCAGGCCAAGAAAGGCCTGGCCTCGTTCTCTAATGTCACAGTAACTCACTGTGTCAGGTCTACACCACTGCCTTGTACCCAAGGAGCTCGTGCTTGGAGTCAGTTCACTCGGCCTTTGCACCACCGTAGGGTAATGTCTGCCCCCCTGTCCCATTCTGGCCCTCAGTCTCCATCTCCTGCCCCTCGCAGCCTGGTTCCCACTTTTCTTTAGAGTGGAAAGGATTCCTCTTAGGGACATCAGGGCCTGAGGAGATGGTCCTTTGCTGTGTTGTGCCACAGCGAGGCTGTGACATCCCCCTGCAGGCGGTTGAAACAACAAAACAGAAAATGGAGGACAGAGTGTGCCAGCTCTGTGCTGAAGGTCGGTGTGACCTTGGCCCATTGCCTCCCGCCTCTGTGACTGTTTTCCTCTTCTTTAACATGAAGGATGGAGACTCTTCCCTCTCTGACATTTCACACTCTGTGTCTCTCTGCAGACAACCATTATGGCCGTGGAGTTTGATGGGGGTGTCGTGGTGGGCTCAGACTCCCGGGTGTCTGCAGGGTGAGTCCCAGCAAAGCTGTCTGTGTCGGGAAGGAAGCTGAGGGCCCTGGATGTACGTTTCTCTAATCCACTCTTAAACAGTCTGGGAAACTGTAGCTTTTGGGAAATGGGGCAGAACTTTCCAGAAAGCTATTGTAATACAATGCAGGGTAGGTGCTCAGGCCTCTGAAATCATGGAGGAGGATCTGGGGGTCTGATTGTTTACACAGCCTGATGAGTGGAAAGAGATAATGTCTTGGGGAACTAGAAGTCAGTTTTTGAGGGGCTTGTCCATCTGTGTTTAGAACGAAAAGGATGGTTCTGTCAAGCAGATACCTCAGATCTCATTGATCTCATTTTGAACTGTTTGTCCCCTCCCTGCTCCCCACCGTCATTTTCCTCACATACAAAGTGAGTATATGAGATACATCAATATTTCTTATACCGTTGAATATAACTCCCTCAAGATGATTTAATAGCAAAGAGGCATTGGTAAGAGGCATGTGTTTCTTAATTAGGTATTGCTTGGTTATAAAATGTAAGCCTAAAAACAAGTCTAATTTTGGGGAGGATGGTGTTTGAAACAGAATCTCAGGTAGCCCAGGCTGGCCTTGAATTTACTATGTAACCAAAGCTGGTCTTGAGCTGCTGATCCTCCTGCCTCTGCCTCCTGAGTGCTAAGATTAAAGGTGTGTGCCACCATGTCCCTTTAATGTAATTCTGGGGATAAGATCCAGGATGTCATGCATGCTGGGTAAGCACTCTACCAACTGAGCTATGTCCCCAGCCCAGCAAGTCTAATTTTGATTAGCACAATGAGTCCTTTGTCTGGGATGTCTTTTTCCTTCTGACTTTAATCCAAGCATCGAAAGCCAAGCTCTTTTTCTTCTCAAATAAGCTCAGGTAGCCAACCTCAAAATTTCCTTCCACTCATCGGTACTGTCTTTCCCGACAGACAAGCTGTGGTGAACCGGGTGTTCGACAAACTGTCCCCCCTGCACCAGCGGATCTATTGTGCCCTCTCTGGCTCGGCTGCTGATGCCCAAGCCGTGGCTGACATGGCGGCCTACCAGCTGGAGCTACATGGGTATGAAACCCTGGGGGTCCTGACTGTCCACCCACGGGAGCTTCCCAGCTACAAATCCCTGTACCAGGTCCTGTTCCAGGGCCACTGTTTCAGTCTCTGCTTTTGCTGGTTTTGACCTGGCACTCGAGTCTCTGTGTTCTGCATCTGTGAGCTCATAGGACCTACCTTATCTCCCGCACAGTGATTTGAAAAGCATAAACCACTGTAATTGGAAAGAAGATGGCGGCGGGATCCACTGTAATGTCAGGCAGTTGCCATATGAGAAATCAAGGTCATTAGGAAGGAAAGAAAGGCTTATCTGCTTTTACCCATAAGGCCAAAGAGGAGCTGTATCACTGGGAGGCGAGGGGGTGGGGCACAAAAAAAGAGGGAAAGCAACTGAAAGCTTCTTGCTGATTGGTGATGGGGGACCGTGGCTCCCCGGAGGATGTGGGCAGAGAACTGGAGTCTGAGCTACGGCAGCTGCAGAATACATCTTAGCTTGGCAGAGGTGATGATAGTGGCCTGGGAAGGTGGGACTTAAGAAAACCCTACTGACCCGTATTCGCAACACCCTGTTCAGGCTGGAACTGGAGGAGCCTCCCCTTGTCCTGGCTGCTGCAAACGTGGTGAAGAATATCACCTACAAATATCGAGAAGACTTGTCAGCACATCTCATGATAGCCGGTTGGGACCAACGTGAAGGGGGCCAAGTGAGTCCCTTCCGGAACACTCCCTACCTTGGGGTACCCCTCTCCTCTCGACAGGGAGGTGGAGGTCACATGCCGGCCTAGCAATGAGTTCCAGAGATGCTTGCCCTAAAAGCACATTGCGGCCTCAAGTGTTGAGATTCTGGGCCCTGGACTGCAGGTGGAGACCACCTGCTTGCTCGGCCCAGTGGAAGAAGCTCCTGGACAGACCTTCAGTCTGACTGGAGGATGCCTCTCCCCAGGTGTATGGAACCCTGGGAGGAATGCTGATCCGACAGCCCTTCGCCATCGGTGGCTCTGGCAGCACCTATATCTACGGTTATGTGGATGCTGCTTACAAGCCGGGCATGTCTCCTGAGGAGTGCCGGCGTTTCACCACGGATGGTAACTGGCCAGCTTGCGGGGTGGGGGTCCTGGGGTGGGGTGAAAGTGGCATATGGACGAGAGGGCAAAGAAAGGAGTAGTGAAGCTAAGCCTGCTCCTTCTCTCTCCAACTTGAAACCCTCTGCAGCTATCGCTCTGGCCATGGGCCGGGACGGCTCCAGTGGGGGTGTCATCTACCTGGTTACCATTACAGCTGCTGGTGTGGACCACCGAGTAATCCTGGGGGACGAGTTGCCAAAATTCTACGATGAATGACTGCCTCAGACTTCCCTCCTTGTTTGTAATAAACTTTATGGAACCAGAAGCTGGTGTGATGGATGGGAAATGGGCGTCAGAAAGATGAAGTGTAGGGGAGAGCTTCCTCACTCCCAGATGTCAGCCTGTCCTTCCTCTGCACCCCGGATCCAAAATGTCTTTCCCAGAGAAAGGGGAGGGGAGTAACTAGAGGGAGAAAGAGCCCCATTGATGAGAAGTTACTGTGTACTGAGTGTTAATATTGCAGACCGATGGCTAAGGAGGGGGCTCAGTTGGTGAGATTCTTGCCTTGCAAGCACAAAGACCTGAGTTCCAATCCCCAGCACACATGTGAAAATCTAAGCATGGCCCTGCGTGCCTATGATCACAGCCTTGATGAGGCAGAAACAGGTGGATTCCTAGTGCTCACTGGCCAGCCAATGCAGCTGAAACTTCGAGCTCCAAGTTCAGTGAGAGACCCTGTCTCAAAAAATAGAGTGTAGAGTGACATCCAACATCAACCTCTGACCTCTACACACATGTGCACGCATGTGAACATATATACATGTATACAGCATACATTCACACACATTCACAAAACTTTAAGATATATTGCAGACAGGGGCTGGAGAGATGGCTCAGTGGTTAAGAACACTAGTTGTTCTTGCAGAAGACCGGGGTTCGAATCCCAGCACCCACATGGCAGCTAACAACTGTCCATAACTCCAGTCCCAGGGGATCCCACAGCCTCTTCTGACCTCCGAGGACATTGCATGACACAGGTGCACTTACCTACATGCAGGGAATACACGCATACACATAAAATAAAAATAATAATTTTTTTAAGTTTAAAAAAGATATGTTGCAGACCATAAAAATTCTCAGAGGCCTGCTGGGGGCAGCTCATTGGTAGAGCTTGTGTTTTACATGTGCAAGGTCCTGGGTTCAATCCCCAGAGCGAGAAAAGAAAAACAAAACTACATTCTGGAGCTCACGGAGGAGGGTGCAGAACCAGGCCAGCATCTTTGCTCCTCATTTAGTAAATTGTTACTGATGCCCCAGTGACTGTATTTAAAACGTTCTGAGTTCATATCTTGCTGTGCACTTCCTGAGTGGCAGGACAAATCACTTCCTCGTTTTCTCCTCTGTCAAAAGAAATTGTTGAGTGATCTCTGAGGCAGTTTGTACCCCAGCATTCAGTGCCATTCTGCTAATAAATGAACAACCAAATTAACAGGCTTATTAAGCCGAAATGCAAACAGGATCAAAGGGAAGCGTAAGTACTCAGAAACGTTGCACACCTTTGGAAGTGGCGGGTGGGGGGAATCTAAAAATCTCAATGACTCAAGTTGTTCCTAGCCTTGACTCAAGTTGTTCCTAGCCTTGCTGTTTATTTTGAATTTTAAGTAATAGTTTAAGAGTCTGTCTCTCCCATGATGACTTACTAGGATTCAAAAACAAGACTGGAGGATCTGAAAGTCAACAAGAGCAGGTGGACGTGAAGAGAGTCAGAACTCCCACACTCACCCTGAAAACAGTTTCAGGTGCCCAGATGCCCGGGCACTAGCCCAAGACGGAAGTCTCCAAAACAAACACTCTTTCTGTGAGAAGAAGTGAGGAGGGACCCCTGTGGGCAGGAAAGTGTAGGGGAATCTCCAAACTGAGCACTGTGGGGGCGGGGATTCCCTGACCTGAGTGCACTGTCACCCCTGAGCCTACCATGGCTGTGACACACCCTGAGCAGCAAAAACCTCAAAAACCGAACTGAAATTTAAACCTATTAAAATCTGAAGACTTGTGCCGGGTGTAATGGTGCACGGGAGGCACTTGGGAGGCAGAAGCAGGTGGATCTCTGAGTTCAAGGCCAGCCTGGTCTATATAGTGAGTTCCAGGCCAGCTGGGGCTACATAGAGACCCTGTCTCAAAAACAGCCCCCCCCCAAAAAAACACTGAAGACTTAACTCTTTTATTGACCAGATAACTGTGTTCTTAACCACTCATTGCAAAATGAGTTTGTAACGATATATGGAAGCAGGCAGGGTTTTTAATATTTTTATTATTTTTTATTTTATGTGTATGAGTGTATTGCCTGCATATGTGTAAGTGCACCCATGTTGTGCAATGTCTGAGGAGGTCAGAGGAGGCCGTCAGATTCCCCTGGAACTGGAGTTTTTAGCTGCCATATGGGTACTGGGAACCAAACCCCGGCCCTCTGCAAGAGCAGCCAGTGCTTTTAACTGCTGAGCCATCTCTCCAGCCCCATCAGACAAGGTTTAAAAAGCAATAAACTGGGGCAAAGGGAAAATAAGATTAAGAAAATAAATAAAGCCAAAATCTAAAACTAATATGCAACAGGAATATTTTAAAAATTAATGAGACTGGAGCGATGGCTTGGCAGTTAAGAACACTGGCTACACTTGCAGAAGACCCGGGTTTGATTCCCAGCACCCACATGGTGGCTAACAACTCTCCATAATTCCAGTTTCAGGGGCTCCGACACCTTCTGCCCTCTGATGCCACAGGACACACACATGATGCACATACAAGGTACACATACATGGTGTACAAACATACACACAGACAAAACACTCATGCACATAAAATTAAGTGTACACACACCCCAACCCACTAAATAAATTAATCAAATTATAAGAATGATGTGGAGCTGGTTTGTATTGGTTTGCAGACCCATTGTAAAATACTCAGAAAATTTGAAAGACAGATGCTAACCATTAGCAGCTTAATAGTGTCTGTAATCAAAATATTTATGCAATTGAAATCAGTCATTCCACAAGTCAGAACTTTCTGGATTCTCTCAAAGAGCCAGTATAGCAGGGCACATATGTATCAGCCAGCTCTCAAGAAATAGTTGGCTCTGAGCCACAAGGAAGCAAAGGCAAAAAAAAGAAATAAAACCAGGCACAAGATTGATATAGTTCATTTAAAAAAATTATTCAAGCTTTTAAGTCACAACGGACTGAGGTGGGATTCACACTGTGACATAAAGGAAATGGAAAATTTCAGAATTCCAGTGTTTTAGGAACTATGCTTTGTAATAATACTGTAACAAAATTAGAACCTGGTAACAAACTGATACCTAGAATTTTCATGCTTTGTAAACTAACAAAATATTGGTAATAATGATTTTTTCGTGGTGGTGGTGGTGGTAGTCTCTTTGAGACAGGGTCTCCCTGTAGCCCCAGCCAACCTGGAACTCCCTATGTAGACCAGGCTGGTCTCAAACTCACAAGAGGTCCGCCTGACTCTGCCTCCCAAGTGCTGGGATTAAAGGCATGCATCGCCACGCCTGGCTGGTAACATGGATTTTAAAGACGTACACAGATGTGGTACATATAAAGTCATTTAGGCACACAGACATACACATAAATTTTTAAAAATTTAAGAAGGCCTCACTTCAATTCCAGGGTCCCCAGAAAGCAGCTCTAACTTAGGAAGGAAGACAGTATGCCTGCTTGACTGGAATGGGGAGGGGGCGCTTACCATGTCTTCAGAAATTGGACTTACTGGTTGAACTGTAGTCGTCTCCAATTGCAAGAAGAGGCTCCTCTGACTGTGGCTGACAGAAGCAATTGTTTAGACAGCAGTTTCACTAGCACATCAAATCCATTTAATAAATGGCAGAGTTTCCCTCCTGGGACATCTGACTTTCCAGACCCAGGTTTCATCCAGGCTCACAACCAAACATGGGTTCCCTCTCATGAAGCCTAAGATCCAATCAGAATGTAATTGGTTGTACTTATACTAACTGAACCATTACTGCACACACTGACGGTGTAGCACCCTAGGCCCATCGCCAAGCAGGACTGCTGATGACAGTTCTCCCCCAGCAGACTGCACCATGCCGTGGAGACATCTGGACTCTTTAGAGGCCACACCAAACTGCTAAAGGGCTCTTGGTCTACCAGATGATTTTTAACTTTTCCAATTTCTTGACAGTGGCTGTGATCACTACACATCCTACTGGCTGTCTACATCGCTTGGTACTAACTACCTTGTATGAGGCAGGCAGCTTCACTGGCTCGCCATGTGCCCAGCCACTGATTTTAGTTTGCATGCTCAAGTGGAATTCTCCAATTGTGGTGTACAGAAGCACCCACCCCCAGGCTGTCTTCTTATAGGAAGAGATGGGAGTTATAATCCTGGAGAGGATGTTTTCCCACCCACAGGGTAAGCCTGCTCCTCTTTCCTTACACTACCCTGTGTCTATGTCCATTTACAGCTGCGTGGTGCCTGCTATGATTTAGGAAACTGGTATGAATTAGAGTGTACCAAGCCCTGGTGTCCACCAGAGTCCATGTGGTCTGCACATTAGTAAGGGGACAATATATTGACCATCCAACATGGGGCTTCTGGTTGCCCTGCGTGGCTATCACTGGCATACAATCTGGGCAATCCCACCTGTGATGCCCAGCTTTGATCATCAACTTAACACAATCTCCAATCATCTGGGAAGAGTGTCTCAATAAGGGATTTTCTACATTGGGTAGCCTGTGGATGTTTCTGTGGGAAATTGTCTTAGTTATGTTGATTGACATGGGAAGACCCAGCCCACTGTGGGCAGCTCCATTCCCTAGGCAGGGGAGAATCCTAAACTGGTAAGAGTGGAGAAATAAATAAAATCAAAGAAGAGAAGCAAAAAAGAAAAGGAAGAAGGAAGGAAGCTTTGAAGGAAGGAAGAGCGAGAGAGAGAGGGAGGGAGGGAGGGAGGGGGAGAATCCAGTGGTGGAGGCTGGACAGCAGACTTGATGTGGGCTCAGTGGAGGCAGCTGGTCCCAGAGCACTAGTTCACTCCATAGGGCTTTTTCTTTTGCCCCCTCTGAAGTCAGAAGCTCACTCTGCGGACGTCACTCACATATTCTTGAAGGGAGCAGTTTCTCACAGGACAGACAGCGCAGCCTCAACTGGATGTTCTCCACCTAGAACAGGGACCACACAACCGATGACACAATTCTCCTGCACCCATCCCATGTGACTGTCCTGGGGTTTACAGTGTAGTGTGTTCTCTAGTCCGTTAGCCATTTGAAGGGACCCTCCGACCCACACAGCAGA